TAGAAAGGACTTTATTTCTTTTGCAAATTGGCAGCCCTCGATTCATTTCGATATCTTTCTATGATGTTACTCTTACAGTTTATTAAAAGTCAATTTCAAAGATGTCAAACCCAGAGAACAAGGAAACTGCAGCCAAACCCAACTCAGCCGCTGCAGACAGTTATGGAACGCGTAACGTAGGCGGAGCTGCTGTGTCTATAAAAATTAACAAAGCTTACATCACGTCAATTTCTGGAATATTGAAGATCGTGGAATTTGTACGTACTATTTGTGGCTACAATGCTCTGATACTCAGTTTTGGATTATTTTTTGCAATTTTGTGCAAGTGCTTCGCTCCCTGCGTTACAGTTCCACCTAAGTGCATTTCCATTGACTGTCGTAGAACCAAAACAAAATAATTACAAAACCCAATTTAAAAATAAGAAAATTACCAAACGAAACAAAGAGAACTCAGCGCCAAGGATGGAACTTTCAGCTTCCTAAAGAGCGGGGAAAACGCGAGCAGCTCAAGTTGCTGATTGATCTTACAATTAATTTGCCATTTGAAAAATGGCTGGAGTTTTCTAAACAATCACAGATTGTTTAGAAAAAGACCGAAGAAAAGCAAAAATCATATCCCTTTTTCGCACTCGATGGGAAATTTATTTAGTTTGAGGCAAACGATGTATTCCTCTAGCCTTTGCGAGGCTCCCGGTCAGTGGAGTCAAGCGACTAAAGTAGATACATAAAAGCCTTTTCTTGATGATCGCTGTTTCGGTTGTAGTTTTGAGGTCCCAACTGTAATTGAAAAGCGTTTTCTTATTAATCAAGATCAACGTAACTGTTGATGTCATCTTCTCCACAGATCCTTTTGTTGTTAGCGTTTTCTATCGCCGCTGACATAAACATAGGAAATTGGGGACGCATGAGTTTTTTCCTTTTTGTTACCATTACTTCGTGGCTTTTTGTAATCGCCTGGTTTGTGTTATTCACCTTCAATTTGCACACAAAGATCAACCTCAGAATAAACTGGAACATTACGGTAATTTTAATTAAGCTTTACTTGATAGAAGGTGTACTTACTCTGGTGAGATTTCCTTGAAAACTTCAATGATTATCCCTTACAAGTGTAAATAGAAAAAGAGGAAAAAATTTTTTCACGTTAAGAAGGCTCAAAATGGCTTCGATAGGTTAAACACCAGGGTTGAGTTTTTCAAAGCTGGGCTAAGATAAACCAAGCA